CCCCTCCTGCCTACTCAAGGACCTCTCCTTAATCAATTTTCCCTCCCAAACATTCCCATAAACAACACAAGTTATAATATCCTGCATCTTAAAAACTCTATCACTCATCCTGTTTTTCAAAAACTCCAGAAGAGTTGGGAGAAGCTGCCTTCAATTGCTTTCAATTCTGTTAAACCCATTCCCATCAGACTATTGCCTGATCTCACTGAACCTGCTTTGGTAAAAGTTGTCCATTATCTCCACACTGGGCAACTATCAGTCCCCATTTACTTCACTGATCAGCAACAACCAAAAACTTGATCCTCCTTGAAACTATTACTCACTTGCCTTAGGGGGAATACCTTTCTCTTAAAGGCACCCCTCTTCACCCAACCTCATTGGCTGCTCCCTCTTTTGCTGGCCCCTCATGTCCTCAAATCTAAATATACACGTATGTCAATGCTCAGTCCCTCCCTGGCCACTTAATCCCATGTGATTTCATCCTGACTCAGGATGATGATACCTCCCACATTTTCTTAGGTCTCTCAGGCTGGACCTTTCTTCCAGAACTTGAATCTCATATATACAACTGCCTATTTGACATCCCCACTTGGAAGTCGAAATGACTTAAAATTTCATGTCTAAAACCAAAATTCCTTACAACCTCAGATCTATTCTTCCTAACGTCCTTACCAATTCAGTCAGTGGTCATTCTTCTGTAGTTACTCAGGCCAAAAGCCTTGGAGACACCCTTTACTCCTCATGTATCACTCCACACTCAATCCATTAGCAAATCCTGTCTAGCCCACCTCCAAAATGTCTAGAAACCAGCCACTTCAATGACCTCCACCAGTTCCAGTCAGGTTCAAGCCTCTATATCTTACCTTGATTATTCTGAGAGCCTTCTAATTGGTCTTCCTGCTCCCACCCCTACCCAATATAGTCTATCCCCAACAAAGCAGCCAGAGATCATGTTAAGTCAGATCATGTCACTTTTCTGCCTCGCTGACTTACCATTTTAGTCATAATTAAGTCAAATTCCTACACCCCCAACCTCTTTCCTCATTTCCCACCCCACTCCCCACTCCAGCCAGCGACCTACTTGGTATCCCCTATAATTGTCAGGCATACCGTACCTCAAGATGTTTGCATATACTGTTTCTTCTTTTTGGAACATTTTTCTTACAGATAACTGTATCATTCCCTCACTTTCTTTAGGATTCTGCTCAAATGTCACCTTATCCCTGAGGCCCTCTATAAAAATAGCATCTTCCCCATTACTTTTCTCCATGAGAATGGGAATTTTTGCCTGATTTATGTATGCCTATAATGGTGAGGGGCACACCAAAAAAAAAAAAAAAAAAAAAAATTGCTGAACTAATGAACTTGTAGTATTTATCACCATCTGACATACCATAGATGTTTCTTCCCCTAGTGGAATGTAAGCTTCAATGAATGATAGCACAGCATCTATCATACAGTGAGTACTTTTTAAAAAAGCAGTGGGCGGAGGAGGGGGGTGTCTGTGTGGCTCAGTTGGTTAAGTGTCTGATTTCGGCTCAGGTCATGATCTCATGGCTCTTGAGTTTGAGCTCTGCATCACGCTCTGTGCTGACAGCTCAGAGCCTGGAGCCTGCTTCAGATTCCGTGTCTCCCTCTTTCTCTGCCCCCACCCCAACTCGCATTCTCTCTCTCTCAAAAATAAATAAACATTAAAAAAAAAAGTAGTGAATGATCAAATAAAATGAATGATAAAAAAAAATCTATCCTGGACTTTTTAGCAAGTGTTTGACTTTTTACTAAGAGTTTCATATTTGACTACTAAAATCTTTTAGGAATTCAAATGTTACCACCTCCTTTCAGGCAGTTCTCTTAGCAAATTTACAGAGTAATATTTTCAAAACATTTAAATCATTTACATGTTTTATCTATATGCTAACAGCATAATTTTTCTTTTTGCAAATAAACTGAAGTGAAATCTTGTGGTAAACCTGTGATTTCTCGCTGACAAGTGGAGGCTCTATTCTATTGCTGGAAGTATGTACATCCTGTTACTCAAGGTAACATCTATTCTCTCGTTGCTCCTTGCCTGCAAAGTATAGAAGTGGCTTTGTAACCTGAGAGACCCATCTTATTTACCACCCCTCGGAGGCTGCATGCCCCAGGCATATTGGCCTGCACTGCATAGAGCAGCAGTCAAGTGCGAGGACTGTTAGAGATATAATTAAAGGCCAAACCACACATTGTCATATAGATTTTAATAGATTTTTCTGATTAACTCATCACAGTAATCATTTTTACTGTAATGATATGCAGCTTTACTACACTAGTATAAATAAAAACAGATAAATACAGCTCTAGGCAACATCACAGATTAACAAACTAAGCATTCTTCATGAACCAAAACTGAAAACAATTATTCATAAGAGATGCTGACACCCTTGCCCATTCTCATCATACCTTCTGAAAAAGGGTACTCCAATAAGGCGCTCCACTGATTATATTGGTCAATTAATCTGCCAGTTAGCCAGGCACATATATTTCATGGTCTCTAGTATTTCATCATTTGGTTGAAAAGCAGACACACCTCAACATATCAAAAAGAAAAGTGGAATAGATAGTATTACCCAAGAAAACCACTGAATGCATTAAAGATATAACACTTTTCCTGTATTTTAGCAGTAAGACACATCAAGGGATAGAAATATACCGAGAAGAAAATTAATATCCACCTTGAATATCCACCCTGAAATGTCAGTCTGTGAAGCAGGATGGGCAATGAAAGAAGGACCTGAAATCAAAAAGGACTCATGGAAAATAAAATCCATGTGAGGTCTGATGTTATGAAGCTATCTGCAAAGAAACTCGTTTCTCCTTTGAAGGCTTATAACTCAAGAGAACCTATTTAATAGCCAATGCTGAGGAGTTCACACTGCAGATACACTTAGGACAAGATACACGGGTAAGATACACAGAAGTATTGTTTAGAAAAGATTTCACTCTGGTGGCCAAATGAAGGGATCATTAAGAAAGCTTGAAGTTTGCCAAAGGGAGGAAATAAACTAAGATTCAAAATACTGATTTTAGGCAGATAGCAAAACTAAGAATATTCCATGAAATTCCTAAAATGTTACTCAACTTTCAACTGTCATTCTAATATGGCTTCATGATCTAATAAAGCTTCAAGATCTTATAGATACATTATTTTTAAGAACTAGGAAGTGAAGAATCACTTCCAAAATGTAAAAACGGCTTATTGCCAGTTATGTTTCAGAAAATGTCTGTCTGCAAAAATTCATTTCCTACCAAAAATGCATAACCCCAGAATATTTAGGCCAGTCGTACAAGTAAACCTCCTTTGCTGATAGTGAATTAAGACCATGATCAAGACAGACATTTCCAAAAACAAAAATCCCAGACACACCCTAGGACATTTTCAACGCATCCTGCAAAACTCTGCACTGTGGATATTCAAAACAATACTCACTGATGAATGTGACAAACCCAAAGAATCAAAGGTTATGTTCATATTAAAATTTTAACTGCTACCTTTGCAGTGGTTTTCAATTTTTTAAAAAAAAAAAAAAGGTTAATACCATTTAACTTTTGGTTTTAATCTGCAAAGTGATTTGTCATATTTTAACTTGCTAGTTAATGATCAAAATGTATACAGGTCAGAAGACATAATCCAGAGGATGGCAGTGAAAGATCAGAAAAAGGTTTATGTACACATTGAATCATAGACAAATAACCACAACCTCTTTTTAAACCCTTGTTCCCATTGTAAACTTTGTTCATAACTCCATATTTGTAAGTCTGAATTAGTCTATAAAAATCACATTAAAAAGGTAAAATTATTTAAGCGCGATATTAACTGATCTGTATTTTATAAATTTTAATCCATAAAAATATAAATAAGAATGGTAAATTTTTAAGAAAAGAAATATACATTTAGTGCAAGTTATGAATTACATTTCTTCTTCAGTGTCAGCAATAAAATATCTTGAGGAAAGAAAAATGATCTAATTTCAAGAAAAAAAATTCCAGTGTTTAAACATGCAATTAATTCCAGATACAGCGAAACAGAATACTTCCTTCTCTTTACTGTCAAAGCAGCAGCATTTTGTTTCTTTATGCTGAACAGTACTTGTATATTATAATAGTTTTAGAATAGAAAATTTGCATAAGACCAGGTCACATTATCCATAAAGTCTGAGCAGGAAAAAAACAAAAAGAAAACTGTTTATCCTTAACAAGTCAAGTTTCGTTGTTGATTCTGAACCACAATGCACACAAGCTGAGAGCTTTTGTTCACACTTCATTCGAGATTTTACCTGTTTGATTAGCCTTTGTTGTGGTACATGAGACAGCTCCAAGCATTCAGCGATGGTACACACTACATGGTTAATGGCACAAGAAACACTCCCTTCTTGCGATGAAACTTCAGTAAAATCACAGTACATCTCAATATGAGAAAGGACTGTTTCAAAAGGGTACACCAATTTAAAGAGGTTTTGTTGCAGCTCAAGAGAGAAAGAGAGAGGGAGAGAGAGAGAGAGACAGAGAAATAAAAGCTCTTCTGGAATGTAGAAAGATAATGCTTAACTATATAAGTCATGAATTAAACAGAACAGTTTTGATACAAAAGGGCAAGACCCTGCAGTCTTATAGATGGCTCAATTCAAATAATCCCTCCAGAATAGGGACTGATAATGCGTCTTTGCAAAATGTTGGAGTAACCGGCCAGGTGCTCCAGGACTGCGGCGTCCTCTCCGTTGAGGCTCAAGCCTGCACTATCACGGCACGTCCTCAGCTGAATGCATCCAGTGCAGAACCACAGGAGATGATTTGCTGCTCTTGGTTAGATTGGGAAATACCTCACTCGTCTCCTTCTCTCTCTCCTTTCCCTCCCCAAACAACTCCTCCATGCCACCAGCATTATTTGCAAACCACGTTGCAAAAGCCTGGGTTTTAGATTTTCCTTTTTTTTTTTTTTTTTTTTTTTTTTTTTAAAGGAGGAAAAAAAAGTAGACGACTCCTTCAGGTTAAAGAGTTGTGCTATTCAACAAATGAACTTCCTCTTCTGTTTCCTCTCTCTCCTCATCTATAGGATTCAGTTGAACATTATTGAAGCGGGGTCTTGGTTTGCCGTCTGGGCCATATGACGCAGGATATCTTTTTTTGTTATAATGCCAAGGAGGCGCCTGAAAGGAATAAGCAGAAGAGTGCTATTTAAATAAAAGGGAAAAGAAAAGAAGAGCTAAATCTATAGCTAACACTTTTTGTTGACAGGAACAGAGCAAAGCAAGCATCGTGATTTTGTATTTTCAGAAAGTGTTTTACTGGTAAAGATAATTAAATTAGCCAGCAACCATCCTTTGATATAAAAGTATTATGGTCACTAATAAGACAATGTCCTTTCCACTGAGACTCTGAGGACTTCATGCCTCGCTGAAGTAGAGGTATTCTGATTAATGTATGCCAACAAAAAAGTAACAAAAAAATGGGAGGACGTATAAAATAAGAGATGACACTGATCCCATTTGAGAAGGAAAATTAATTCCCATGACATCAAGAAAGCAGTAAAATGTCTGATGACCAAATCTCAATATTCCACGGTTTTAAAACCAAACTTAATCAACTTTAAAAAATAATGTAAAGATTGCCCAGTTGTATGCAGAATCTTCATGAAAGCACATACAATTGAGATAAAATGCATATAAAATGGTCAACAAAGAACTCTAATCCCAAACTTCAGAGCCCCAAGAATAAATCTATAAGACAACCCAAGTTTCTAGTACACACGTCAATGTTTTCCTCTTTTGATTTTGGCCAAAAAAGTTAAGATACAGTGCTTTTATGAAAGTCTTGGTGATTAATGCTCACATTAAAAGATAGGTGAAAAATCAAGAAGCAGTCCTAAAAGATTATTATAGGTGAAGCAGAAAGCAGAATGAATGAGTAGCTATTTATTATTCTGGTTAGTAGTTTTTTAAAAAAGGATGCATGAAACACTTGTGAAATATTAGCAAACAACAGGGATACATAATCAGTTGTGTACTTAAGCAAACTGGGACAGGTTTTATATAGGTATGACAATTGCAGGGCAAAATAATTTCAGGCATTAATAGCTAAAGCCAGACGATTTTTTAGGTTATATGATTAAGATAATTCAAACTTTATCTTTAGTTATGAAACCACTAGGACATAAACCCGGTTAAAACAAATGCATTTGACCCCAAGAGCTGCTCACAGCATTCTGGAAACATCATACAAAAGGGGCACACACATAAACTAGGTACAGGTTACTAATGAAATGGCAGGACACACATTCTTGATTATGAGGGTATGCAAGGTGTAGCAGAAGAAGAATTAATGCCAAGATCACAAATATATACAACATTACACTCTAGTTAGTGTGCCCATAAAAAAATCTGTTTAACATTCAGCAATTGTAACATTGCTAAGCTCCATTAACAATCATTTATGAGCTTAGATTTACCACAAGACTACCACAAGATTAGGAAACATAAAAAAAGAAAAAGGGTTCGGTGGGTTTGGTGGGGCAGACATTTTTAACCAGTCAGGCATCTTCTGAGACCGGTGTATCCACTAAGGTAGACAGACTTGTGTTTACTTTAAGAATGTCCAATGACATTTACTCATTTAACTACCAAACTGTTTACATTTCTTAAATTGCAACCAATGATTTTGATGAGAGATGGTAACTTTTGCTTACTTCCTGTGAATGGAATTTTACAAATATCTAAATTTATCTTACAGACATAGTTTACGAGATAGAAATGTTAACTGGCAGCATGTAGGATTTTTTTAGTTCAGCAGGTATCTGGGAAAGAGAGAACTGAACAGTTCACAAGTTTCATGCTTCCTGACTTCTAAGGTATCTAATGAGGAGATCTGATATATCTAATCACCAAGGGTTCGACGTGCTGCTTTAGTTGCTCGAGATGCTCTAATATGTTCTTCTTTGTGATGATCCCCAAGACAATCCTGAAACAGATCATGTTATGCTAATAACTGTGAGAAATCAAAGTAAAAAAGGTTCCAATCATAATGATAAAGAATGAGAGAAAAAATAAAAACATGAACCATAAGAATGCTTTTAATGAACTTTAGAAAAATAAAAACAAAAATGATTTGAAATCCCAGGTCCCATTTGCATAAATTCTACTGACTTTCATAAGAGACATGATACTATTTTTAAATATTGGTGGGTTGTTTTCCTTTTTAAATTAAAAAGCAACCCTATAAAAGTTCACAATGAAGACGACTATAAAGAAAAGCAAAAAAGAAACAGTAATAATACACAGCTATAAACCTCTAAAATTTAGTTTCATTTTCAGTGTTCCTTCTTTAGAGGAAAGTATTTTTCTAATTGCTAAAAAGTTAACAATGCGGCAGCTATGATTTGGATCTACCTCAGCAGTGAAAAGGTAGAGGCTTAGCCTTAATTGTCTATGAAGAACTAAGAAATCCCTTGGATCTTACTATTATTTCAGATTAAAACTGATGGCAATGTGCACTTAAATAATGCCAACCAATATAAAAAAAAAAAAAAAAAATTTTCAGGACCTGCTGAAAGCCAGTTCCTAAAATAAACTAGTAAGATGTGTTTATGATTAGGGGTCAAGATGACTTTTACATTATGCATTTCATTTTCTAAATGATTATTTCTCAGTTAACCTACAAGCAAAATGATGGACATAAATTCTCACAAGGATACTTGTAAATAATTCAATTTATTAGAACAAAATCCTGGTTACTGGTTTTAGAGTGGAAGCCAATGAATTCTACTACAATATATGGCAACACAGATAATGAATGTCAAAAACCTTAGAAAGCTTTAGTCATGAAATTCTGGAAGCCCATCCAGAATGCCCTTCAGGGTAACTAGACATTTCCCTGAGGATCTAGTTAAGTCAACTTTACTATTCAACTGCCCTTGAACATTCTGACTTCTTCAAGAATGTTACCAGGGTATTTCACTTAGTCAAAGTAGTCTGGGACTAGAGATGTGTCAGTTATGAAACAGTTATTAAGGATGATGCCTGGGTGTGGGGGTGGGTAAGCAGGAAAAGCAGAGATTGGGAAAGGCAGAAATAGATTTTCTGCTAATGTTTTCTCATTATTTAAAATAATGTACTAACTTAAGAGCAAAGATAAATTGCAAAGTTCTCCGAGCATGGGAACAAATTCTCCCTCCAAAAAGGCTTAGAAAATGCACTCATGAAATAAAAAATGGATACATAAAAGAAGCACTTAATCACTCAATAGATGTTCTTCTCTAAGTGTGTGAGGGAAAATAAAAAACAAAAAACCACATCAATTCATTTTAATTTATAGCTGGAGTCAGGAAATAAATAGTTGACAATTAAATAGTTTGAGTTTAATTCTTACTCATTCTTTTCTATCCAATTATATACAGTGATTAATTTCAGTTAGTATATTAGTAAGCTCCACCAAATCACAAGATACAAAATGAGGAAAGTTACAAATTTATGAAGGACCAAATGGCAAATTTAGAGATTTACAAAGTAATCTCTATATTACAAAGTAACGGCCCTAAAAAAGGAGGACAAACGTGTATTTCCTTTCCAATGAAGAAGAGTGATTTGAGAATAAGGCCAGGTTCACTGCTACTTTATTAATTTCTGGAAGTATAAAGAAACTCAATGCAAAATATAACTTACATAATTTGCTATTTCCCTGTGGGGCTAATAAGCAATGACATAAGTATAACAGAGCATGACCCAACATTTTCCCAAAATATGTTCCAAAAAGCACCAGTCCAAGGAGTTTGGCCCTCTTTCCTCCATTAAAAAAGAAAAAAAGAAAAAAAAAAAAAAAACCTGCATGTTCAAACAAGTTTGGAAAACTGTATTTCCTACTATCCCTGAGATTCAAATAATATCAACATTATAAGTTTTGAGATATTCCACAATAAAGAAACCTCAACTTAGTATTTAATCCAGTAACTTCCAAACCTATATGGTCACAAAACTCTTTCTAAGCAATGCTTATTTAACATCCTGCTAGTTCCACCAACACTAAAAAGATTTTGAGAAATTCTGCTAATTAAAATATAAAATACGGGAAATATATAACTGACATCTTTAAAATTCACAGACACACTTCCCCCTCATCTCTCTATTCTCATTTTCTACTTGCATCTACGAGTCTGGACTTGTTGCACCTCTTTCCCCAGTTACTTTCTACCTCTGTGGACCCAATATGAACTATAAGATGCTGACAGTTATCCGGATCTTCACACTATCCACTAAAATACAGAAGGTATGGTTTCTTTTCTAGGTTTAAATCATTTAACTTCAAGTGAGAATAAAATGCTCTACGTTCCTTACATACTGCAAAGAAAATAAAGACCCAAGAGCTACCACTCCTAATGATCTCTTTCTTTCTCTCTCTATATATCGACTTATTTTCCTTGAAGTACAGAAATAAGGAATTATAATCAAGGCAATTAAACATATTCTTTTAGAAAAAGCTACCCCCTCACCAAAGCTTTCTTATAAACAGGCAATATCAGGTAAGATTTTAATTAGCTGTCCTCCCCCACCCCCATTTTTTAAGTTTTACACTTTAAGTATTTTCCTTTGTAATATTTGTGCTGCCAAAAATCTGGAAATTAAGCAGCAAAGTGAAATATGGTAACTGACCCATCCAGCTTGGTGATCACAGGTAATCATGACTAGAGAATGACATTTATATG